CCCCATCATCTGACTCCCCGAAGCTCTGTGGGGGCTACGTAATCCTTTCCTGTCTCGCAATTAATTCATGAATATAATTAARGGGTGGCTGGAGGTTCGGGGCAGGCCCGTCTGTGCCCCCCAAAATTCCCCGGGGTGGGGGGGACCCTGGGGACCGCCTAAAAGCCGTGGGACACGAGGTATCCCAACTTTTCCCAGCCTGTCAGACCCCAAAATGGGTCCCACTTTGTGTCCCCCAAACCGGGGGGTGCCCTGGAGCGAACCCCAGGTGCCCTGGAGCGCCCATGCCTCAGTTTCCCCGCGCGTGGAGCACCGAGTTCAGGGGGGTTCCCGGTGGGAAAGGCGATCCGGGCAGGTCCCCCCGGGCTGCCGGGGGTCTCACAGCCTCCGGGACCGCCGGTTTCTGGGAGGGGGCACCGGGACGAGCTGTCGGAGACCCCAAAATCCTCCCCCCACCCAGCCCCGCAGCGCCAGGAGCAGCCGGGTTGGAGCCTCCCGGGGGCCGCTGCCGGGGGCGCGGGGATGCACGGGGCGAGGGACCCACATTATTTACAGCAAAATAAAAGGGGAAAAAAATAGCAACTACGAGTTCAAAGCGCCCCGGGATGGCGCAGGAGAGGGGGGGAACACCCCAACGCCCCCGCAGCACCCCACCAAGGCGGGCTCCGAGCCGAAAGGGCCCCGGTTCACGGCTGCTGAGCGCCCCCTCCCCCGGGACCCCCGGGAACCCCCGGGACCCCTCGCCCCTGCACTCACCCGTGGGGAACGGCCAAGGAAACGAAGTCGTTCGGCTCCGCTCGGCTGCGCTCGGGTCAGCTCGGCCTCACTCGGCTGCTCTCGGCCCGGCCCGGTTCGGCTTCTCGGCTCGGTTMGGCTGCGCTCGGGTCGGTTCGGSTSTGTTCGGGTCTGTWCGGCTGTCACTCGGCTGCTCCCGGCCCAGCTCGGTTCGGCTCCTCGGCTCCGATCAGCTCAGTTCGGCCCTGCTCGGGCCGGTTCGGCTGCGCTCGGTTGGACTCCTCGGCTCAGTTCGGCTCCGCTCGTCCCTACTTAGCTCGGCTCCTCGGCTCGGTTCGGCGCGGTTCGGGCCGGTTCGGCTGCGCTCGGCGCGGTTCGGCTGGGCTCCTCGGCTCGGCTCGGCGCAGTCCGGCCCGGCTCGGCTCGGCTCGGCTCGGCCCGGCTCGGCTCGGCTCGGCTCGGCTCGGCTCGGCTCGGCTCGGCTCGGCTCGGCGCGGCCCGGCTCGGCCCCGTGCCGAGGGAGGGCAGCAGCAGCGCCCGCCCGGCCCGGCGCGGCCCGTTCCGCTGCCCTCGCTCCGCTCCGCCGGCCCCGGGCACGCCGGGAGCTGCAGTCCGTGCCTGCCGGGACTTGTAGTCCCCGCCCGGGCCGCGGCGGCACTTTGGGCTTGGTGGTTTCCTTCCTGGAAATACGGGGTTCTCCTCCTTAAAAACGGGTTTTTTCTCCCCAAAAGCGGCGGTTTCCACCCCAAGAGCGGGTCAGGAGAGGAGGGATGGGGGTGGGAGGTGATGGCAGCGCTGTGTTTGGGTTGTGCAGTCCCGTGCGCTGGGATCGTGCATTGGGATTAGAGCGGGATCACACCGGGATCGTGCGTTGGGATTATAGCGGGATCACACCGGGATCGTGCATTGGGATTAGAGCGGGATCACACCGGAATCGTGCATTGGGATTATAGCGGGATCACACCGGGATCGTGCATTGGGATTATAGCGGGATCACACCGGAATCGTGCATTGGGATTATAGCGGGATCACACCGGGATCATGCGTTGGGATTACAGCGGGATCACACCGGGATCACACCGGAATCGTGCATTGGGATTATAGTGGGATCACACCGGGATCGTGCATTGGGATTATAGCGGGATCACACCAGGATCACACCGGGATCGTGCATTGGGATTATAGCGGGATCACACTGGGATCACACTGGGATTACACCGGGATCGTGCATTGGGATTATAGCGGGATCACACTGGGATCACACCGGGATCACACCGGGATCGTGCATTGGGATTATAGCGGGGTCACACTGGGATCACACCGGGATCACACCGGGATCGTACACTGGGATCACACCGGGATCGTGCATTGGGATTATAGCGGGATCCTGCATCCCCCTGCACCAGGATCACACCGGGATCGTGCATTGGGATCACATCAGGATCACACTGGGATCATGCATTGGGATTTCAGTGAGATCCTGCATCCTCTTGCACCGGGATCACAGTGGGATCACAGCGGGATAATGGAGCTCCTTGCACTGGGATCACACCTGGATCACACTGGGATCATGGAGCTCCTTGCACCAGGATCACACTGGGATCACACTGGGATCACACCCGGATCATGGAGCTCCTTGCACCAGGATTTTGGAGCCGTTTTTAACCACGAAGGGGGAGCAGTGACCTATAGGGTGTTGGGACACTCGAGTCACGGGGGGCTTTGTCCCCTCCTTATGGGATTCTTGAGTTTTGGGGGTGCCAGGGGAGCTGTGCCAGGAACAGAGATTTGGGGTGAAATGAATTGGGAATGGGGGCTG